AGTAGTATTTTCATATTTTTTTTCGTTTTTATAATTCGAGTAATGTAATGTAATGTATTAATATCGATCCTTATTTTAAGACAGTTTGATTTTTCAATGTTGTACAGAACAGTTGTTTGGACATGAATAATAGCATGGTGTACTGTTGTATATAGGTATGAGTATTTGTCCATGCCAAAATCATGTGTACCCATTCACAACAACTGAATAACCCTTAAACGTTGTGCCATTAATAACCTATAATATAACGTAAAAAATTATATTTTAAATAACTATGCTATGTTACTAAAATGTATTAAAATAGGAAAATAAATAATAATGTTACTCAAATACATGTGTTTTAGTTGAGCATGAACCAAGTACTCCATCACACATATTTTAATTTAACAGAGAGCGGGGGTAATTACTAATTAATTTATTGGTATATAACTAATTACAAGTAATTAGTAATTACCCTATACTTGAAACTCGTAATATGTGTCACACCATGCATATTTTTTATTCATCAGTATTCAGTAAGTATTGATTTTTAAATTCTAAGAAGAATATAGAAAATACTGGTTTTAAAATCAAGTACTTTTTAATCAATATGTACGACGTGCGTGAACAATATATGTTTTAATTCAAGTATGATGAATTGATTGTATTATTGTACTGTATCCAAAGCATATAGTACATTATATAGCTATAATTTTGAAGTTATGTTATAAGTTATTTATTATTATTTATTAATATGATGAATGTAGGTAATTTAAAATCTAATGGCCACATAGTTACCTTTATTATCTAAATAAAAAAATGTATTATTTTAGACAAAGCTACGAGTTGAAAGGTAATAATCATTAATATAGGTTTTGAAAATGTGTGTAGGGAATATTTATAATATTTAGATTCTAATATATCTGTTTATTAAAAATTGAAAATATTTTTAATTTTGGTATACATAAATTTAATAATAAATTAATAACTCATTCAAATTAATTTAAAAAAGTTTTTTTACATCTTTGTTTTATTAAAAGGTAATAATTATATGTATAACAATGAGTAAGTATTAATATTTATAATTAAACTTCTGCAAAACAAATCCAATTAATTGATTCTGATTTGTATTGTTTACTAAAATAGTAAAATAACATTCAAATATAATAAATCTAAGAGTTCTCTCGCAAACCTCTATATTTACGTTGTCATTTAAAAGTTGGGTAATAATTATATTGTTTAAATAGATTTACTATTTACATACACAGAGTATAGACTGCTTTTTATTAAATGTATTAATTAATTAATTAATCATAATAAGTGTATAGTGTGAAAGTGGTAACTCGTACAAAAGTTTGACAGTACTTGTTAACCGTTAAGTATTATCGAATAAAAGTTTTTAAGTAATAGAAATGTTTGAAAACTCTTATAATTGATTTAGTAGATGGCATATAGATATAAGTATACAAGAATATTATTATTATTTATTAGGTATGTTTGTGAATAGTGTATACGGAGGTATAAAAATAAACTTTAAAATAAAAACACATTTTTTTGGCCTTTACCTAAGTATATATATAGTATCATAGATCACTCAGAAAACTACCAATATTCTATATTGGCTCTTTATTATTATGTAACTTATGAATTTTATCCAAGTTAAGTATTCCAATAATTATTAAGAAATTTTAGGTTTTAAGTATTATATGAGGTTTATTATGGTTTTTTATTTTTACAGTTATACTACTCAAAATAATTCAATATTAAAATTTTGGTACCTACTCTAAATAGACTGTTGCGTTAAAATGTTACATCTTCTTTTTTAACATATTTTTTAGTGTGGACTGTGGAATATGTTGGTTTTATAATAATGTTTTTTTTTACTGTTAGTTTTGTTCACTATAATTTTTTTAGCGGAAGAAGTGCTTGACACTTGACAGGTAGTCCAACTGTTGGGTTTTAAATTGTATCTAGTTTGTATTTTATCGGCATTTCAAAAATTGCTAAACAAACAAAAATCTAACGATAACTCAGAAAATAATTATCTTTTAGATGTAAAATGTTTATTAATTTTTATTAAATAGGTATGAGTTGAAAAGTTAATGTTTTTTTTTTATACAATTTTAAATTGTTTACTTACTTGAAAACCTATATAATAATAAAAATAATAAGGATAAGTAGCCATTATCATATTCAAACATTTAAATTAATTAGTGCAATAAATGTTCAAACCATCCACTCTTAAATCTTAAATTATTTCATCTAAGCAATATATAAAATAAATGTTCACAATATTTGGTCTCATGTCTCAGCCCCAATAACCTTTCCGGTCATTATATTTAGTATTTGAAAATTGAAATAAACTAAATGAATAAAATCTACAGTATTAACTATCAAGTACATTTTTAAATTATGGATATGAATTACATTTTCCATAATTGTGTTTATTAAAAATGATTTATTTATCTATTTGTGAGTTTTAAGTTTTAACTATAGTTTGACTCATTGATATACCATATACAGTATATCATATACTCACATATTCTTAAAAATGAAACTAGGTACACTTAAAAATTAATGTGGTATACCAAAGCACTCTGTCCACTATCTATAATTTAATTAGAAGAAACTTTTGTATGATGTATATTGTATATTATGGTTTAAACTTTTGTATATCCATGTAAACCATATAAGTTATAAAATGTATCTAAAAATAAAATATATATGTAATTTAACTAACAAAAGTTTTTCCATTTCTAATCATTAAAATAGATTTTAGTACTAAATAGAAAAAGTGAATGTCACTCTGCTGTACAGTAGATTACAAGTGCGTCAATGTATAATGGACTGTATTAAACTTGAATACAGTGATATTCTATCATTGTATAAGAAAAACGATTCTGAGCGGAAACGGTTTGTCAGTCTAGATATTGTATATTGTCATTAATTATTATATCATGTAAGTTGAATTAATATTATAATATTATAATTTTTTATTCGTTTCTATGGTAATAAACAAAGCGTTAGAAAAAAACCCAATTTTTAGCGGTTTTTCGTAATTTTTCGGTGGTTTTTACAGTGGCATTAAATAACTATTGATAAAATAAAAAAATTACCTATCTAAAGTACCATCTTGATCCAGTTTGTTAAAAGATAAGATACTATATGTTGGAATCGAAGGATTCCTTCTGGTAGAAATTTTGTATACAGGATATAAAAAAAAAAAATAAACACCATTGTAAAACCACTAGTTTCCTCGCTCAGAATCTAAAAATTATGGGTCAATATTACAATATTGTTTTTAATTTTTAAACTGTTATAACTGTTAAATAGCATAACCAAAGCAATGAAATTGAAAAAAAAACAAAATATAATTAACTGTAACTAGATAGTATCATTTTCATAAACTTCGTGTGGAAATATGCAACTATAAGTAATTATGATAATCTAAACATGCGTTGATTCTCTGTAGTTTTTGTAACATTAACTGTTCAACAAGCTTATAACGATTACACGATGTGAGGATAAGCTTTTAAATATGGGGATTTTTAAATATAAACTTTATACATTTTTTTCCCCTAGTTGTTTAATTCCAACGAATTATTAATATACATTTTTATGTTTAATTAAAAACTAATATTATATTAAGTGTATACATTATGTACATATAATATATAGGGCTAGGGTGTAACAGGAACCTGTCAAAAAAAAAAAAATGATGCTAATTAAACATAATATGACGAAAATTGTGAAAATTATATGGTTAGTAAATAATTAAAAAAATATACTCATATCAAGAAAATCCCCAAAAAAATATTTTGAAAAAAATTATTATACGTTCTAAATTATTTTATTCAAAAAATTTTGATATTTAATCAATTTAATCAATTATATACTTAAATGATTGTCTAAGAATATAGGAGTTTATATTATTTATCTGAAAGTAAAAGTGTGTATCCTGAACTACTGAAAATATATCTACTCTAAACATGTAAAAACAACGTTCGTACTTGCATTGGAATTATCGTTTTTCTAAAAAATTTTATTAGTTATGTGCTTAAAAAATTCTTAAATCATATTTGATAATTATACTTTTAAATCTTAACGAATTATACTTAGTCAACAGTTTTTATTATATAAGCAGTAGGTAATTGTTTGGATTAAAATGTTCATAATATGTTCAAATCACCTATTTAAGATATCGTCTAGACGATGTAAATTTAGTTATATGAGGTTATTTATACTTAAATGTATAATGACTGTAAATTAATTATTTTACAATATATATTTCGATTTGTTTCTATAAATGTACCGTTTAATTACAAACGTCCTAAAACGCGGTGCATAGAATACGGCTTCTATAATTATTATTATAGTAATAGTTGATTCTTATTGCAGACAACTATAAAAATATTATATGATACGATCCATAATGGATAATATAAAAAAAAGATGATTATCATTAGATAGACTTTAACGTTTTAACAAAGTATACCTATGTTTATTTTATATTTTTTTATTATTTTATACCTACAGATATATCTATATATAATATATGTATATACTATATATGTATATAATATATAAACGATATGTAAATCGTGACGTATTTTACATTTTTACCGCGTAAAAGACGAAAAAAATCCCTTGCTGGATCGTCGTTGACCCGCATTCGCGCGTTGGCCCTTAAAGTTGGATAGACACAAGGATGAGTTATTAGAAAAAGAAAAAAATTAAACCATCGTATTATTAATTTTCAACGACGAATAACATTCTATGGACGGCAGAGCAAATGTTACTTGACGATATAATATACTCTATGATATACCTACGCGTTATGTGCGCACGTATACAATATATATTAATACAATAACGACGTGTATATAATATAGGTAGTATATCGCCGAAAAATTATAATATTATATGACCTATGTTATATAATATACAAAATTATATTACTATTTATACCGACGAACCCTTGTGAAAAGGGGTGGGGGGGGTGGACGTCGGTTTTGGCTTACCTTGGCCGTGCTGTGTGCCGTTGTAAGACCGCTGCATAATGACGACGACGATGACGACGACGACGACGACGACGACGACGACGACGACGATGACGACGACGACGGGACACCGGCGGTTACATAAGTGCTACTATAAATAGGCAGTAATAGTGTGCTCCGATATGTAGTCTACATCAATGTTTTGCAGCGGCTTTGGTCATGGTATATACCCCGAGCTCTGCCCGTGCAACAGATGGCCCCGCCGGGGCTCCTGGTCGCCGTGGCAACGGCTATTACAGGTGAGATGTTGCCCAGCAACCGGTGCCCAAAAATCCGGGCAAAACCAATGGCCCACATTCGTTAATCAATTGTCTCACCTTATCCGCCGACTTTTCTTCTCGCCGCCGCGCGCACTTTGCCGCCGCGACTGCCGCGCGTAGTGCTCTGTTGCTGTCGCTGTTGCTGCTGCACGGCCGCGCTGCACGCGCGCGTTTACCGCGCGCCGACAACACAACACGCGCGTATAATACATTAAAAACCACCCCCCCCCTCAAATATAAAACGCACTACAGTAACCGGGTATATACCGTAGATCTGTAAGTCCTGCGGTATGCGTAGGTATATACGACGTGTTATTATATTAAATAATAATATAGGTATATAGTCCTGCATTGTTGCATTGTGTATAATATAATATAATATCATATTATATAATATGTATACAATCACGGCGCGAGTTATGACCTGCACCGTTTCGATCGATTTACAATAATATATATACATCGAGTGTAACTGTGTGTGTGTGTGTGTGTGTATGAACATATATCGATTAAACATGGCGTTCGTACGACGTTTCATCTCGTTTGGGGGTTTAGAGTATTTTCACCCCCCCGCCCTCCCACGCACCAACGACAGTCGTAAAACCGACACTGTTGCTGCTCGTATAATATATATATATATATATTGGATCAACAGTGTATATATATTGTATTATTATGCGATGAACCTAGCTAATATATACTATTATATAGGTTATACCTTATACGTATATGTACGAATAGTGTTAGGTGTTACGGCGCCTTTGTCGGGCAAACCAATTTATATTGTTTAGTCCTGATTGAAAAATTTAAAATTATTGTCGTATAATATATGCCGCTGTTATATGTATTATATAGGAACAACGAATTTATCGAAAGTCTAGCACTGAGGGAGCCTATAGAGTCGAGATAATCGATAAGCACTTTTTTAATACGTATAATTATCGTTTGTTTACTGGTAAATGTACGTTTTTTTTTTTAATTATTATTTTTACACTGTTAATTTAAGTCATTATCATAGTTAATTAGTACCTTAGAACCTAAAATAGTATTAATATTGTAGTTTAGATGAACGGAGTGGAAGCAAATCGTTGGTTTACTACCCCGCTCACGATCTATGTTTTAAACACTTATAACTAATTAACATAAATTACTGGTTAAATATTCGATTTGTATGTACAGATATGGTGAGAAAAATAATATGCTTTGGATATTATGAAATTAAAAATGTATGTTGTCATTAAAAAAAAAAAATAAATAGGTTATTAAATTGTAAAAATGAAAAATAGAAAAAAGGTCATGTTTTAATGACTGAAAATTGTGTAAAATAAATTTAAAAAATAAACACGAATTTAACCAATAAAATACACACTGTATATAGTGACAAAATATCACTCTACGTGTATATACCGACCAAATAGGATCTTATCAGACTTCGTAATAAACACGTATATTATTAATTATTATATAATATTGCACACCGTGTGCGCTGTTATTAATTAACCATTATATTTTGACTTACGAGTGTTTATTATATACTGAAAAGTCGTCATTACCGTATATTTTATATAGATTAATTAACCTCAGGCTACATAGTCCACATAATGATTTCTTAAACTGTCTTTGAAATGTCTACGCTCGACTTCGTAAAAGTTGCGTTTAACAAGCCTGAATTATAAATGATATAAATTCTCTGCAGGTGTGGTCGCAGTTATCGTAAAATGCCGAAATAGATGCTTTTTATTAACAATTACTGTACAAATTATAAAGATGTCGACGGACTGGGATTTTCGGGGCTCAAAAGTTAGTTGCACGGGCTATCGAGAAAAAATAAATCAGTAAAATATTTTCAGACTCGCATCGTTACGAATTCTCACTTCTCGATATAATTTCTAATGTCAAAACCACCACTGCATCATACTAATCACCTATATATTTACTTTTTAAATATTTCTATATGTTTCGACATTCACTATACCTACCAATGGACGATCGTCGATCAGTTGTATAAAATATAACAAAACTAATCAATTTGGTACCTATATAACACAATAATAAACATCATGTTATGTATTACTGTTTTGATATTATTCGGGAATAGTACAATTTCGGTTTATATATTTTCGTGTGATGGTTAATTAATCATGTGATATAATTTATATCAGATTAATTTTAAACTGGTGATGTCAACACAAATGTCAAAATGTCGGGACCCGAAGAGGTCGGGGGCGGGAAGCGATCGCATCACAGCATCCATTGTCTGTTCTCCAATGCTTTTAGTAGTATGAATAATAGTCAGTTTTGCATAATCCAATTTTGTTTAATATATAATATGTAACTATAAACTATTGCTCAAATTATTTATTAATTATTTATTCGAAGAAATTAATAATATATTTTTTGAACGTAGGTAATAATATCATTTAAATTTTAAATTTTGTATCATTTTACAGTTCTTGTTAAAGCTAGTAGGTAAATAGTACATTCGTACAACCATACTATACATTGCACATCTCATAACAAATATATATTTGCATTTCTTATTGTTGTTATAATTTTGAAAGCAATACCTAATCTTTAAAAAAGTATTATATTCAAAAAACTATTTCTATCTCGGTTTACTCTTGGAACTATAAAAAATAATACCTAATATATATTAGACGTGTACTCATTTCGTTTTATAATTATTTAATATGTGAGTATATAATTGTACCTATAACAGGTTACAGATTACATTATAAATTATAATATAAAAAAAAAATAGAAAAATACTTTTATTTATATACCTATTTATTATAGTATTTTTAATACTTAACTATTAAAAATATACACATTTAAAAATGTATCTTCCACACTGCACACATATTCATGGATTTGATGAAGTGTAATTTGTGGAATTAAAGACATGATATTAAAAAAACTGTATAAGTGTAATTTTTAAATATTGCGTTTAAATAAGGCTTTCAAATTTTAAGTGCTATTACCACAAAGAAAAGAGCAAATATGAGCAATTAATGATGATATTTTTGTAAGCAGTAGATTGGTGGTGTCGATATCGTCATTCGTCATGTAACTCGATGAAAGAAATAATTAAATTTGTTTGTTCATGAAAGTAAATGGTTTATTACCGTATAGAATTTATATCATTCTACATTTCAATTACCACATACCTGAGGCCTACTGGTTATTAACAATCATATCTTCATAATATCGGGTCATGTACCTTATCGGATATAAATAAATTGATAAACACCTCGAATTAGTTTAATTTAATTTGTTGTAGGAAAATTAAATTAGATGATGATAATTTAAAAATATCATAGTTTTTATGAAAAAAAACAATGATTTTTATAGTTACTTGAATTATTGTTTTATAAGTATACCTACTAATAATATTTTGTCTTATAATTTTAATGTATGCCCTTCCACCGGTCTCGTGCTAGAATACACTTCGTTGTAACTTTAACATGCCGTTCCAAACACGCACTACTCGTCTACTCGAATCAAAGATATTTTTATTTAAGATAAACCATTTATTTAAAACAATACGGTACCGTCAACCCGGGTGACTTGGAACTTGGAGGTGACTTGGAACAATTGCGTTATTTTTTGATAACAGCGGTTAATTTTATGCTAGATAAGGGAAATAAAATTCTGTCTCCACAAAAATATTTTTCGGAAAGTTTTGTAAAAGTTTTGTTATCATCGAAAATGTGTTATCTCTTATCAATAAGCCATGTGATACAACCATAATTTAGTAAAAAAAATCCAAATTTTCAAATCCTAATTTAAGAGCTTTGAAAGTGTAACTTGAGCTTCTAAAATCAAGGTATTGTTATTTTTTAGTGAATTCCTAATGTGTTGTTAGTGTTAATCGCTTAGTAGAATTAGGAAATAATATTATTTACATTTTTCAGGGTTGTTTTTATTTTAGGTAAAAAAAAGTGGGTCACTTGGAACTATTATAAATGTATACCTGGCAGTCGTACGTACCGAAATTTACGGTATTTAATTTCGGTAATTATACCGAAAAAAAATGGTTTTTAACACTTTTTTTTTTTTTAAAAATATTTGTAGCGTTCCAAGTGACCTTCCCACATATGATTAAATGCAATCTGCATTTGAAAAAACGCATGTTCCAAGTCACCCAAAAATCCGGGTGACTTGGAACAAGCACTTTTTATTTTTTTTTTACCTTAATTTACTTAAGACCTTAATTTTTTTTTGCTCAATCTATTCCTTGGAGGTGTGCGACACTGCATGATTTTTTACAGAATTTAATTATCAATAATGAATGAGTTACAGTAGTTAAAAGGTGAAAATCGTTCCAAGTCACCCGGGTTGACGGTATACATAATACGTAAAATAGTTATAATTAAATAGATTGGTTTATCTACCTTGTGCAAGCATAGCTGATAGCTATTGTTTTAAATGTAAAGAGTTATTTTATAATACTGAAATATTAAACTATAACCAGGCAGGTAGGTATATAAAAGTACGTTTGACAAAAATAGTTTACTTCAGTGGCGTATTTTGAAATTTTTTGTGGGGGGGGTCTAAATATTAGGTACCTACAAGTTTATAATATAAAAAAAACACATACGAGTTACGATGTAATAATTATATTATATTATATTTTTTTTCTGGGGGGGGTTAATATTTATAATTACATTTTGTATTCTCAAGTATATTTTAAGACCTTTATTATCATATACAAATACAATATGTAGATTTTACATAC